TAGCGTGGTGTGTGTGCAGTGAGAGGGGTTCTGCTGTTGAGGCTGGGAAGGTGGACCCAGCCAGGTTGAGGGGAGGGTGGTATTCCAGGCCAAGGTGTTGAATGGAGGTATCATTCTCACCAACTCTACTTCCCAGACGAGAAGACCAAAGCCAGAGAGGTAGAAATCGGAGGATTTGGGAGAAATCAGGGCCCAGGCATGGGGTAGCTCAGCCCTTTTATTTATTTATTTATTTGGCCACGCTGTGTGGCTTATGGGATGTTAGTTCCCCAACGAGGGATCGAACCCAGGCCCACGGCAGTGAAAGCACCGAGTCTTAACCACTGGACCACCAGGGAATTCCAAGCCCTTCCCCCCACGCCCCTTTTTTTCCCCCTGTTGCAAGAGAGTTCATTGACGATAAGGAGAGAACAGAGGGAACACGTCAAAAGAGAGGTGAGCCAGGCCAAGGAAGTCCCCTTCCCCTTTTTAGATGAGGAGGTTGGGGTCCTTCTTCGTACACTTCATGGCTCTCCTATGCTTTCTGTTCTACTCCCACCTGATGACTCTGGGTCATTTTGTAAATGCAAAAGGGGCTCCCAGCTGGGGAACTTGAAAGAAATTAGCCAGGACCTAACAGAAACCAGGCAACAACAACAACAACAACAAAAAAAACAGTCTAGGATACTGGCTAAGAGTGTGGACTCTAGAACTGGACTGCCCTGCTTTGAATCCCATCTCCACGCACTGACCGTTGGTGGTGTGACCTTAGACAAGTGGCATAACGTCTCTGATCCTGATTCTTCATCTGTGAAATGGGAATTGCAGCAGTACTGGATTTCATGGGGTGGTTGTGTGTATTAAATGAGTTAGTAGGTGTAGAGCACTTAGCACAGTGCCTCGCACACAGTAAGCTCTTAATGTATGTTGGCCATTATTGTTACTAATGTTATTATCTCCAGGAGGCCAGAGAGTGTAATGGTTCAGACAAGTCTAGATACTATTATTTCACTTTACCTTGATCTCAGGATAAGAAGGGAAAGGGACATGACTTGAGCACGTACTATATCTGGGCACGTACTATATCTCATCTCATCCTTCCTGTAGCTCTTTTTACTCTCATTTATCAGTTGAGGTAAAAAGCTCAGAGAGGTTGAGTGACTTGCCAGGGGTCAAAAAGCTAGTTAAAGACAGCCATAGAACCACACATAGATCTCCTGGACTTTCTTAGAAGGTTTATTCCTAGGAATGTGGTATCCTTACCCTCTCTCTGTCTAATGTTGAATTACTCCCAATTTTAACTCATTCTTTGTCCTTTAGCAAATACTTCTTCTCCCTGAGCCTCAGTCTTCTCAGCAATAACATTATAAGAGTTTGTAATGGTCAGCGTAAATATTGCTAACTGCTGTAACAAACAGCCCCCCCATCTCAGTGGCTCAGCACAAAGGTTTGTGTCTTGCTCATGGCACAGTGCCCTGTGAGTCAGGGTGGGTGGGGAGCTCCGTACAGTCATTCAGGGATCTGAGCCCCTGCCACCTATGGATCAGTCTCCTCTAGGGCCTCAGTTCTCCCCTGGCTCTACAGCACCTGGCCACGAGGAAAGGGAGGATGAGGAAGGCACACAACTCTAACACACGTCAGCCCAGACGTAACAGACCTCACTTCCATTCACAGTCTATTGACAAGAACTAGTCACAGGGCCCAGGTTAGATGCGAGGCGGCTGGGAAATATGGTCCAGCCGGGTGCCAGGAGAGAAGATAACCCAGACCCTGGTGAATGCCAAGCCCATCTCTGCCACAGGGTTGGGCCAGATTCTGTGATCTCCACTGGCCACACTGAGTGCAGAAGTCAGGATGTCTGGGTCCTTCCCCTGTCTGCAGCAGGGGCCTCCCCCCACCCACCAAGAGCTGTCCCTCCTCCTGCCCTCCTGGGTAGAGAACCAGTCCCTGCCAAACCCCCTCCAATGGTGTGTGGGTGGTGAGATATGATCTTATCATGCTTATTGCCTCTTGGAAGGCAGGTGCTGGAGGAAAACCAAGTCTGCTTTGGGTTTTCTCCCTGTTCCCTTCACATTCCTTCCCAAGATAAATTTAGCCAGCCCTGCTTTGAACGGCAGTGCCCAGGATGCTGACTTTTTGTTCGGGTCCATGTCAGAGCATTTTCCATGGCTGCAGCCGTAGGCTGGGGATGTAGCCCTCAGGACCACAGTCCCAGGCTCTGCCCGGCCCTTAGCATCTGTGACCCACCTCTCACCCTTGCCTGGTCCCCATCTCTCAGTTGCCACACGTCTCAGACAAGGGCCGTGAATTCTCCCATGATGTGAGACAGAACACAGACTGCAGAAGGGCTTTGAGATCCAGCACGAGGGCTGCCTGTGTCCTTAATGGCCACTTAGAGCTCAGAGGCAGGACAGTTCTGGGTTAACAGCACAGATTTTGGAGTTGTAAAGGTGGATCAAAATTCCAATTCAGGCAGTCGTCCCTTTTGAGACCACTGACTGTTTCCTCCCAGGACACTGACCCTTACCATCCCCATTTTACAGAACAGGAAGCTCAGGCCTGGAGAGGTTTAGCTGGGTCAGGAAGGAGTGCAGGGGGAGGGCGACCCATCTTCTGTCTTGCCTGTGCCTGGGCAGGGCTGTAGCCGTGTGCCCAAGTAAAGCACCTGTTACCTGACTAAGGCCTTAAAAAGGCTGTAAGGGCTTCCCTGGTGGCGCAGTTGTTGAGAGTCCGCCTGCCGATGATGCAGGGGACGCGGCTTCGTGCCCCGGTCTGGGAGGATCCCACATGCCACGGAGCGGCTGGGCCCGTGAGCCATGGCCGCTGAGCCTGTGAGTCCGGAGCCTGTGCTCCGCAACGGGAGAGGCCACAACAGTGAGAGGCCTGCGTACCGGAAAAAAAAAAAAAAAAAAAGGACGACTGTGTGCAAAGATGCAGGCAGTTTAAAGGAAGCTAGGAGCCTGGGGAAGGACCAGGGCGGCCACCACAGGAAGGCTGCTACCAGCTAAGCCGGCAGGGCAAGGGGAGGGAGCAGTCACAGGACTGGAGGGGGGTTGCACCTGACAGGCTCTGGGCCTCAGGAGGGAAGTCAGCAGAGGAACTGGGAGAGGAAAAGCCCTCGCCCTTCTTCCCTCCCACCGTCTGGTTTCCTGTGGGTGCCTCCCACTGGCTGAACCCAGCTGGAACCAGAGGGCAGGAAGGAAGCAGTCTTTGCAGACCAGGCTCCCAGGCCCCACAGAGAAGGGCAGAGACTGGGTGTGGAGGGGCGGGCAAAATGTCCAACATGGGAATCAGGAGAGCACCTGCCTCGAAGGGCTGGTCTCAGGGGTCACCCTTCTCGCTAACAGACCTGCAAAGGGGGCCTGAGCACCCCCATTTTATAGGCGTGGGAAGTCAAACCCTGAGGGCTAAGTCCCCTAAAAGGCCCCACACCGCCGGCAAGTGGTGCAGCCAGGATTTTAACTCATTTCTGCCTGAGCCCGAAGTTCCCTGGCAGCCAGAGCAGACAGTGGCCAATACTTACAGCGTAAGGAGGCTCTTCCCCGCCACAGATGACCTTCCTCCCCTGCCCGTGAGCTCTCCATTATTTATCCCCTTGGGCTCAGCACTTCATTCTCCCTGCTGGACAGTTTGGAAGACAAACATCCCTGGGAGGGGCGTCACGTCAATCACGGAACACTTCCAGGGAAGGAGTTTCTCAGACTCCCTCTTTGTGCTGGGAGAGGCCTGGGACTGGCCTGGGAATCTCTGGGGAGTGGAAACACTGAAAGGGAGGCACCGAATGAGACCGATGTCGATGCCACACAGTTACAGAGGTTTCTGAGTTCGTTCTCGACCATCCTCTCACTTAATCCTCACCATTTTCCTGGGATGCTGGCATCAGTAGCCCGTGTTACAGCTTTGGGACAGTAGCCCAAAGAGATTGCACTTTGCTAACGTTAGAGTTTCGCCCGTGGTGGGCAGAGCCGTGTAAGGGGAAACGCACTGGCTTTAGAAGCCAAAAGCCAAATGCAATTCGAATCCTTACTGACTGTGAGACTACAGGCGGGTCCCTTCACCCCACAGGCATCTTCCAAATGGGGGTATGAACACCCACCTCACTGTGTTTGGTGAGAATTAAATGCGATCATTCTTATCAGTCTCCAGCACGGTTCCTGGCAGCCAGCAGCCCAGGCAGAGAAGGTACAGGGGACAAATTCTTGAACTGGAGGAAATCCAGCACCAGGCCTCAGCCAGTTGGGTAACCCTGGACCAGTCACTTAACCCCTGGAGCCTCATGTGAAAAACAGAGCAGTCACATCCCTATCCCACAAGTTTGTGAGATGAGGTGTCTAAAGACACTTTTTAAAACTGCTCTGTAAACTGCTCTAGAAATCAACGTATTTTTTCAGCAGTATCAACACCAGTGAGCATTTCCTGAGTGCCTACTTTGTTCCAGACACTATTCTAAACCCCTGACACACGTGGTTTCATTCAATTTTCATGGCAACCCTTTGAAGCGGGACTTCTGTATTATTCCCACTCACAAATGAGGAAATTGAGTGTCAGAGAGGTTAAGCAACTGGCCCAAGTTGCACAGCTGACAAGTGGCAGAACCAGGCTTTGGACCCAAGTAGGCTGAGAAGCCTGTGGAGAGGGGAGCCCCTGCCGGGCCCTGGGATACCCAAACAAAGAGAACTGAAGAAGCTTGGAGTCCAGCTGGGCTCCAACTTTCATACACCTCAGAATCATTTAGGGACGTGATTTAAAAGACAGAGTCCTGGGCTCCACCCACAGAGATGCTGATTCCGCGGGTTCAGGGTGGGGCCTGGAAATCTGCCTTATTAACAAACCCCCAAGGTGACGCCTGTGCAGGGAGGGGTTCAGCTCACCACACAGGGAGGACCACGGCAGGTGTCCCACCAAACCATCAGTAAGGGTTGCTCGCTAGGTGAGGGTCATAGGGCTCTAGAGGCCCCTGAATTTTCAGGCAAGAGAGACAGGAGCCCACAGTGGGACCCACCTTCCCCTCTGGCCTCCAGGTTTGCCAAGTACTACAAGACGGAGAACGGCAGTGAGCACCGCACGCTTCTGAAGGCTTTCGGCATCCGCTTCGACGTGCTGGTGTATGGAAATGTGAGTCCTTGGGCCAGGCAGACACGGGGGATAGGGGAGGAAACCTGGACCCATCCTGGGCCCTAAAGAGGCTCCTCTGGGGGCAGGGTCCTGCCACTGACCAGCTCTGAGACCCTCGCTGGTCACACGTCCACAGCAGGTGAGGCCCGCTGATGCACCAAGAGCCCTGCAGGCTTCAGGGTCTTCCCGGCTGGGGGTCCAAGCTCCACGTCAGGCCTCGCCCCGGCCCTGTCGGAGCTGTGCCCACTCACCTGGGTCTTTGCGCACACAGGCTGGCAGGTTTGACATCATTCCCACGATCATCAGCTCCGTGGCAGCCTTCACCTCTGTAGGAGTGGTGAGTGCGGCCCCTCTGGGTCCCGTCCGGAGGCCACTCAGGGTGCGGCCCAGGCTGGCAGGGTTTGGGCAAGCGGTGACCCTCTCCTTCCCAGACGGTGAGCCCAACCTCTTGCCCTCACCTCCCTGCTGGGCCAGCCCTTGCGTGAACATCTCCAGTCCTGGAGAGCTCACTCACTCCACGGCAGCCCCCCACCTGCTACAGAGTCCCCGTTCGCCACTGTGTAGGGGGGCGAGGAGACTCCAGGGTTCCCAGACCTGAGAGCCCGGTCAAGGAACAGAGCCCAGCTGGCAAGGTGGGGACAGAGTCCCTTCCCCAGGGACTTGGACCCCCGCGGTCCCTCTGCTTCTCCCACCAAGTCCTCCCTCTGCAGTCTGGTCTGGGCTCACCCCAGGAGCTGGGGAGGTGGGTTCTGGAGATATTCTGCAAGGCCCCTCGATGTTTTCCTAAGAGGAACCATCAGTCAGGTGTCTCTGGAGGACTCACCCCGACCCCAAGGGCAGTCCCGCCTGCCGCCCGTGCTTCCCGCTGCGCTGCCCCCGCCCTGCAGCCCCGCTGAGCCGCGCTGCCCTCCACCTCCAGGGGACTGTCCTCTGCGACATCATCCTGCTAAACTTCCTCAAGGGGGCCGACCAGTACAAAGCCAAGAAGTTTGAGGAGGTGAGTCGGGGAGGGTGGGGTGCGCCCACGAGAGGCAGAGGAACGGCAGGGAGGGGAGCCGGAGCCCAGACTCTCAGGGGCCCACCTCTTGGGGGCCTCTGAAGGGGAGTTCATTGGGCCTCAGTGCGTACTGGGGATCCCGACAAGAGGGGCTCTGGCCAAGAGTGGGCTCTGTGGTCATCGTCTGCATCCACTCACTGTCCCCTCTTTGCTTCGGGGAGGGACAAATCCTGCTACTGGTTGGCTCAGGTCTGTTTGCCCTTGAGGTGCATGGGAAGAGTCTTGGGGTCACAGACTTGCTCTAGCTCCCCTATGACCGGGCTGCGAGCCCCAAAGGCTGAGTCTGTCCCACGGGGGCCCATAGGAGGACCCTGCCCACAGTCAGAGCACGATCATGCCAGCCCTTCTGCCTGCAGGTGAATGAGACCACGCTGAAGGTCATGGCCTCGGCCAACCCCGTGTACCCCAGCGACCAGACCACAGAGGAGAAGCAGTCCACGGACTCAGGCGCCTACTCCATTGGCCACTAGGGCCTCTTCTGTGGGCCCCACTCTCACCCTTGGGCGCCAGGCCTCCCAACAGAGGGTCCCACCTGGGCAACGGGGATGGGAGAGGGGAGAGGCTCTCATTTTTGCTGCTCACCCCTTGAGGCCACAGCCGGGACCAGGTGTCTGGCCCTCCCACTGCTCTACAGACACGTCCTGTTCCCACTAAGACCTCAGTCTCACCTTCACCCCTCACCTCACCCCTCTGTGCTTCCCAGAACCCCCAGGGCAGTGGTATGAGTCATCCCCTTCTGAAGAGTAGAGCTAATAATAGGAATAACTAGTGGCCACAAGGGCCTCCCAAATGCCAGACACTTTCACACACATTATCTCATTTAATCCTTAGAATAATCCTACGAGGTAGATATTAGCTTCCCTATTTTGAAGACACACTGAGGCTCAGAGAGACTGAGTCGTTTGCCCCAGGCCACACAGCCAGGAAGCGAGAGAGCTGGGATTTGGACCCACGTCTGCCTAACTCCACTGCCCACACCCCACAAGGAGAGAATGAACCCCCGGGGAGCGTCTGCCCTGCTGCTTCAGCCTCCTCCACCTTGACCGTGATTAGTTTCAGCTTAGTCAAGAGTAAGCCCCATGCTGTCCCCAGGAACGCAGGCAGGCCCCGTTTTAGGGGAGACCAGTAGGACTGGGGTGCGGGGTCTCTCTCTGACTTGGGTGGGTCCCAAATTCAGAAGGAAGTAGGAGGCATAACTCTCAGTGAATTCTTCCTTCCGTCTCCCCAAGCGAGAGAAGAGGCCATTCTCACTTTCTCTGGGACCTCCACGTGCTCATACATATTCCAGGCCCCTCACTCCGGGAGCCCAATTAGGCTCCCCCAGGGCGGGACGGGATTCCCCAACCTGGTGCCCTGTTCCAGGAGATCAGCAAGTCTCTTCCAACACGTTGATGGAAAGGTCCGGTGAGACCCAACGCCCGGCGAGCAGCCGGTCAGCAGGCCAGTCCCCGCGGGGCCCTAATGAGGTGGTCGGTCCTCTAATGGCAGAAACTAAAGGGGCTTTAGGAACCATCTTGTCTGATTCTCTTGTTTACAGATGAGCAAACTGAGGCCAGAGAGGGAAAATGACTCGTCCAGTGTCACACAGTTAGTGGCCCAAAGAGAACCAGGTGTCCCACCACTCAGGGAAGGAGGAAGGAACAGGCAGCTGGGAAGGCTGCCGAGAGCACGCCAAGCCCACCCCGTCTTCCTTTGCCCCGACGCCCCCTCCCCTTCTGGGCTCTTCCACAGTGGAGGCCCAGAAATCTCACCAGGGCAGAGATCAGGAGCAGATCCAGGTTTTATGAAGCCTGAAGCATATGCAACGTGGGTCAGCTTTTAGGATTAGAAGAGGCTCAGGCAGGTGAGTGGCCCTGGAGTGTTAAGTCTCACTAGCTTCATGGTAAATGCCTTGGAAAGGTTGGCTCGCAGGCCTTAGCAGAGACGAGCTTAACTGTACATGGAGGGCTGGCCCCTCTACAGAAGGTGCAGGGCAGCTTGGGGGGTAGTTCAGGAAGGCCCAACCCCTCTGATCCCCCACCCCAGGGAGAGAAGCGGTGAGATTACGCCACGTGAGGCCCATCACCCATTTCTCCACTCTGCCTTCACCCCCAGCCCCATCCTCAAGAGGATGGGGTAACACCTCCCCATGGGTGGCCTAGGGAATCAGGCAGCATCCAGAGATCTGACCAGCAGAGACATCAGTGAAGGCAGTGCTGAGCTCTCCCACCAGGAGCCCCAGTGAATCCAGCTCTCGGGAGGATAGGCTGAGGCTGGGGTCACAGGGATGCTCTCTGAGGAGGAGACAGAGGCAGCTCTGTCCTGCAGGGACCCTTTCCTCCAGACTGGGGTGGTCCTCCTACGGGCGCATCAGCCCGTCCTGAGACTGCCAGCCCATCCCCAGCCTGAGCTCCTGTACGTGTGAGCCCGATGTTGTCTTCCCCGCGGCTGAACTAGGTTATGGCTCCCTGTGCAAGACTTAGGGCTGATCTCAGTAGTAATACCAGTAACTAACTCATCTCCGCTGCATCGCGCGTACTCAGCACAATCACCAACACAATCACGTGACCCCTCACACCAACCCTGGTAAGCTTGCTACGGTTTGTCGTTAATCCTAGAAATAGAAAGAGGAGTTTGCAATGCACGGACATTTGACCTGAAACCCACGCTCATTCCTAACAGCTCAGCATCAAAGCTAACGTTTAGTGATAACTCACCATCGCCAAGCAATGAGTTAAATGTGTGACAGGCATTGTTTCATTCAACCCTCATTTTATAGAAGAAACTGAGGCTGAGTAAGGTTTTAAAACTGAAGTGGTAGAGCTGGGACTTGAACCCAGACCGTTATGACTCCAGAGTCTGGGATCTTGACTGCTGGGTCATATCTGCCTGGGAAAAACTAAGAAATCTGTTGGCACCTTCTTTTCTACATGTGTTAGGCCAAAGCAGATTTTGGTGCAGTAACAAGTTAATTGTGAAATCTCAGGATTTAATACAACAACGTAGGTCAGCCAGCCCCTTCCACCTGGCAGCTACGCCATCTGAGATACATGGACCCCCAGATCACTGTGGCAAGGAAAGTGAGAACTGGAGGATCATGGATGATCATAGGGGATCATATAAAGGCCAGGTCTGGCCTTTATATCACATCCAACCACATTGCACTGGCCAGACTCGGTATCATGCTGCAGAGCCCAGGTTTACTGCAAGGAATACTGGGGAATATAGTCTTCCTAGGTCCCCAGGAAGAGAAAACTGTGAGCACAGCACTCCCTGTTTCATTATCTCCTTTTTAATAGCTTTTCTTCTCCACAGCCCCCCGCCCATGCACACTAACAGTTACATACATTTTTCCCTTCTGTGTTCCTCCTCACAAAACCTTGTTCTCGGCAAGTTACCAATCAATCTTCCAGAGGTATTAATAGACAACACACTCAGGGGTTTCTTGTCCTAAGAATATTTGCTTTTTAATCAAGGGCTTCAAGTCTGAAAGGCCTTAAACAGCCAAAGGAAAGAATATATAATGGTTGAAGCTGAGGCCCACTAACAGACAGCACTGGATATTTGAAGGACATCTTTTCTACCCTGGCCTGCCTCAAGCAAGCTTCAGTCTGGAAGGGTCTGAGCACCACCCTACCCCACCCCTTTCTCCTCCCTCCCTCTACCTCTGGCCTTGGCTGGCAGTATATTTGGTTACTGGGATTAGCTAGAGCCCATTCCCCACCAAGGAGATAAGTGGAGGCTGATAAGAGGGGGCTTGCCATTCAGCAATTCCCAGAAATACCAGTCCCAGAGCTACCTGTGCAGAGCTCATCCTTCCCACCCCCCACTGCTTCTGCTTCTTTTAGAAGCACAGCATCAAGATTAGCTTGTTGCAGTACACAGTGCAAGGACTTGGGTAGGGACCTGACCTCAAGGCAGCTCCCCTTCCATGCCCTTGGGGAGGCTGACATGCTGTGATTAGGAGCTTCCTGACCCAATCTCTATCCAAGGCAGATGGATAGAGTCTACTGAGGACAGGCCTCACCTAGAGGCAGTTCCCAGGGCCCAGCACTGGTGAGGTTCATAGCAATGTCAAGGCCCCTTCTCCTGTTGCCAGAGCCCTGCTCATGTTCAAGGGGCTCAACCCTGCTGCTTCATCACCAGCCACTTCCCCTGGGGTTCTCCGATCCTGCTCCATCAACTCCAGCATCTTTAGAAACAAAGCACATCTGGCAAAACTGGATTTTCTGTTCCAAAAACTCCACATCTGGTGGGAATGTAAATTGCTACAACCACTATGGAAAACAGTATGGAGGTTCCTTAAAAAACTAAAAATAGAACTACCATGTGATCCAGCAATCCCACTACTGGGCATATACCCTGAGAAAACCATAATTCAAAAAGACTCATGTACCACAATGTTCATTGCAGCACTATTTACAATAGCCAGGACATGGAAGCAACCTAAGTGTCCATTGACACATGAATGGATAAAGAAGATGTGGCACATATATACCATGGGATATTACTCGGCCATGAAAAGAAACGAAATTGAGTTATTTGTAGTGAGGTGGATGGACCTAGAGTCTGTCATACAGAGTGAAGTAAGTCAGAAAGAGAAAAACAAATACCGTATGCTAACACATATATATGGAATCAAAAAAAAAAAAAGATGTAGACATAGAGAATGGACTTGATGACATGGGGTGGGAGGGGGGGAAGCTGGGGCTAAGTGAGAGTAGTAGCGACATATACACACTACCGAATGTAAAATAGATAGCTAGTGGGAAGCAGCCGCATAGCACAGGGAGATCAGCCCGGTGCTTTACGATGACCTAGAGGGGTGGGATAGGGCGGGTGGGAGGGAGGCTCATGAGGAAGGGGATATGGGGACATGTGTACGGATATGGATGATTCACTTTGTTGTACAACAGAAACTAACGCAGTACTGTGAAGCAAGTAAACTCCAATAAAGATCTATTAAAAAAAAAACTCCACATTTCATCAGATAGCTGTACAGATACACACACACATACATGCACAAAGGTAGACCTGTACACAGGTATGCTCAGACACACTGACATGTACACATACTCCCAAAGATACTGGCCAAAGACACAGCGGTACACACATATGTATGCATATGCAGATTCAGGAGTATAAGGTACAAAGCTACACAGATACACACACTCAAAGATGGACACAGACATACAGGCATATCCATAAATAGAGATGTATAAAACGTACGCACAACACATAAATACATGCTGACTCACACACAGATTTATGCATATTTACAAATATAGATTCATATATACACAGGTATCCAAAGACTGACTCTTGTACACACCAAGATACATATACACACGTGTATGTGTGCGCCCCCAGAAATACTTGTACATTCTCCCTGTGCCCCATGTAGAACTACACCCCCAAGAAGTCGCTCTTCCTATCCCTCTCTCTCTCTCACAACCCGGGGCTCTCTGTCCTCTGAATACCCAGTTTCCAGTCTGAGTTTCTCGCTTCATCAAGCCCAGATCCTTCCTGGAGCCCAGCCTGGAACAAAGTTAAGAGCAGCAACAGTGTTCTCTCTCAATGTCCCCAGGATCTGAGAAAATGGGAGAAGCAGAGGAGACCTGGGACTGTAGAACCAGCATTGGAGCCACACAGCTACAGATGCCCTGACTTTGGCCCCAAGGCCCTGGGATGAGGGGCTTCCCTGTTGGCGCAGTGGTTAAGAACCCGCCGGCCAATGCAGGGCACACGGGTTCGAGCCCTGGCCTGGGAAGATCCCACATGCCGCAGGGCAACTAAGCCCGTGCGCCACAACTACTGAGCCTGCGTTCTAGAGCTCCTGTGCCACAACTACTGAAGCCCACGCGCCTAGAGCCTGAGATGCCCACGCACCGCAATGAAGAGTAGCCCCTGCTCGCTGCAACCAGAGAAAGGCCTCACGCAGCAACGAAGACCCAACTCAGCCAAAAATAAAAGTTAAAAAAAAATAATTTTTTTTAAAAAAGGCCCTGGGATGAGAGGCAGCTCCCTCCTGAGAATGCGGCCCCTCTAGGGAGGGGAGGTAGGCTGGGGACCGGGGAGGTGATGAAGGATTCGGGGCACAGTGAGGAGGACAGCCACCCTCCTGGGAATGGGGTGGGGAACCATCTCAGAAGAAGTTGGGGCCTCTGAACTCACACACAGGTGGCTGGGAGAGTGGAAAATAGGGGCCATTATCATAAGTGAAAAAGACACAGGTCTCGAGAAGCCGGCTGCCCCGAGAGACTACTTTCTCTTCCCCGCTACGTGGTTACCCCAGGTGGGACCTCAATGGTCCATCCAATTCTTGAATCGGCCACAGAGCCTCCATTTTGGAAAGCCGCCACTCCCACCCCGCCCCGCACACCTTACTGAGTCCAAACAGAGCAACAGGGTCAGTTCCCCACCCCCTCACCAAAGGAGTTCTTCCTCCCTGGACCTGGGGCAGGTGGGGCGCGCGGGGGTGGAGGGGGAATCCTCAGAGCCGGAACGAAAAGGACCGCCGCCCGGTACGCGCTCCGCCCCCAGGTGGCGCTGCAGACACACCCCGGCGCCCCGCACCCCCCCGCACCCCCGCCCCGATCCGGCGCCCTACTCCAACATCTTTTACTTTCCTCAAAGTCCCACCCCACTCCCCACGAAACCG